CTTGACGATGGTGATGACGCTGGCGGGCGCCACGAGAGCCGCGGGTCCGCGGGCGGCCACTGAGCGAGCGAAGCCTTGCAGCGCCTCGCACTTGCCACGCAGCGCGTCCAGCTCCAGGCGCATGGCGGCGTTCTCGCGCGCCAGCTTGTCCACCTCGCGCTCCAGCTCCGACTTCTGCTTCTGCAGCTCCTCCTTCTGGCACACACGCTTCACGCGGCAGCTGGCCGCGTAGCCGCGGTTCTTGAGCGTGCGGCGCCGCTGCTTGAGCCGCGTCACCTCTTCGGCCGAGAGCCCGCGCAGGTGCCGGTTGAGTTCGCGCACCGACAGCCCCATCAGCGCCTCGTCCGACAGGTGCGGAGTATTCTCGCTCAGCTCCCGCTTGATCTGCGGGCAGCACGGTGGATGCATGGGGAAACTGAGGCTGAGGGTCGCTTCCCCTCCTCTCCCCTCCCAGTCTGTGGATCAGGAGTCTTGGGCCTGAAGCGCGCCACAGGTGCTGGGGGTGACTCCCCCTCCATGCCCAGGGGTGCCTCGTCACTTCCTGAGGCCCTAAGGTGGTGGCTGGGCTCGCACAGGGACACAAAAGGAGAAACCAGGCCAACAGGATCTGAACACACCCAGGGATACCCCCATAGAGGCCACCCCAGGCCCTCCCGAATTCGATCCCGTGGCCCAGCCTGGAAAGCCCCATTGAAGCCTTGTGGCCCAGTGGGCGTTGTCCCCAACGGGAAGCAGGCCCAGAGAGGGAAGTGACCTGCCCAGGAGCACACAGCCTGTGACCAGAGTCCAGCTGGGGGCCCTCCCAAGCATCATGAGCGCCTGATGCCTGTGGAGCCACCCTCCGGGATTCCAGGAACTGAGGGGGAGGTTGGGATGGGGGCCTATAGGCTGGCAGGGAGCTGCCTCCTTACCTTCAGAGCTTTGCTGGATAAGGGATCCACAGACATGTTTGCAGAGGGTGCTTCTGGGTTGGAGATCTAAATGAGAGAGGAATCCAGGTTCACTCTGCATCCCCAACCACTCACTTAGAATAAAATTGAAACTCTTTCCTCGTCCTTCAAAGCCCCTGTCTGTCTCAGAACTTGTCTCATTCCGTCTTCCTCAGTGCCAGTGGCCCAGCCAGTGCTCTCCTTTGGCTCATTCCAGCCTCAGGACCTTTGCATTACCATTCTCTTCCTTCCTAGCTTCCCATAGCAACTCTTCATCATTTAGGTCGGTGCCCAATGAACATCTCCTCAGAGATCTTCCCTGACATCCTGGCTAAAATATCGCTTCCTGTCACATCATGTTGTTGTTAGGCATTGTTAGGTTGATTTCAACTTAGTGACGGTAGATCTCCCCTATAGGATTTTCCAGGCTGTAATCTTTACTAAAGGAGCTCTGGTAGCGTAGTGGTTATGAATCAGGCTGTGAACCTTAAAGTTAGCAGTTCGAAACTACCAGCCACTCCATAGAAGAAACATGAGGCTTTCTGCTCCCATTAAGATTTACAGCCTTGGAAACCCTGTACAGGGTTGTTATGGGTCAGAACCGACTCGACAGCACTTCACAACAACAATCTTTACTAAGGAGTCCTGGTGTGCTGCTCTAGGATAAGTACTGGATTGCTAACCACAAGGTGGTAGTTCAAGCCCACCAGTAGCTCTTTGGAAACCCTACACAGGGTTGCTATGAGTTGGATCCAATTCACTGGTACTTAACAACAACAGTCCTTACTGAAGTAGATTACCAGATCTTTCTCCTGAGGAGCAGCTGGGGAACCACTAACCTTTCTGTTAGCAGCCACCATCTGTCACGCAGACCTTCATTAACATCCCCACCCCTCCGCCATTCAAATGTGAGTCCAGGAAGTCAGAGCTAGCCCGCCTCACCTAAGCCTGCTATACTTAAATATGTATCAAATGAGTGGAGCCTCCTCTCCAGATAGGTATATTTCACAGCTTTTCTTAGACCTTCCATTGAAATGTAGCCTGCACACAGTGCACAGGTCCTGTGAGTACAAATCGATGATTTCAAATTGAATACACCCGCCCAGCCAGCCAGCATCCCCAACCCCCCACCTGAGTCTCTCTCATACCCAGTATATGTGTCTGTGAAAACTCCTGCCATCTGGGGACTGCCCTGGGCTGAAGAGCAGCCCTAATCTATAGGTGAAAAGCCCACTGGCCTCCGATGCCTCCCGCTAACCCCACCACCACCACCACCCATGTTCAGCTGACAGATGGCACCGGGGAGACAAAGTCAATGAAAACTTCTGGAAGGCTGTTCCTCTAGGTTGAGGGATGGGACCATCTCCCAAAGCCCCCTTGAAGGCAGGGATGATCCTCTGTGTCCTCAGCCTGTCTGTCTGTCTCCCCATTCAGTGTTAGTCTGAGTTTCTTCTGTTGACAACGCCATGGGAGGGGCTGTGTGGTAAGGGGCTGATGAGAGTGGGGAGGAAGATGGTTATGACTTGAGATGGTGTATCCAACTGTAAATGAGCCTCAGCTACAATCCGTGTGACTGAGAGCCGGGCACAGGCCACAGGCATCCCAGTCCTGGCTGGCCTCACTGCCTCACCTCTGCTTCTGGGGAAATGGAACTGTGAACTCTGCCCCAGACTCAGCTGGGCCCTCTGGAGTAGTGGGACTTTGTCAGTTCAGTTAGCCGCTTCACGGATGACCTGGATGGTTGTGTGTTTTCCCTGAAAGCTCCCATAGTTCATTCTACTTGGATGTGAGTAGCTACTTTCACTCCTTAGAGTGAAAGCCAAAGCTATCATGTTGTTGTTATTGTGTACCGTGGAGTCGGTTCCGACTCATAGTGACCCTACACAGGGTTTCCGAGGCTGTAAATCTTTACGGGAGCAGACTGCCTCATCTTTCTCCCGCAGAACCGCTGGTAGTTTCGAACTGCTGACCTTGTGGCTCGCAGCCCGACTCGTAACCACTACACTACCAGAGCTCCTTAGTGACCCACAAAGTACGACAGGACCCCCTTCCTGATACACAGTTCTCTTGCTCAGTTTGCGACAGCCACATTGGCATCCTTGCTGGTCCTCAAACACCATGCATTTGCCTTCTCAGGGCCTTTGCACTGACTGTTCCCTCTGCCTGGCATTCTTTTCCCCTGGCTGCCCACAACATTCGCATCCTCACCTCCTACAAATCTCATGGTCCTACTCAGTTTACAGCGCCAATCCCAGCCCACACACACCCTTAAACCCCTTTCCTACCTACGTTTTCTCTACAGCAGTTTTCACCATATAACCGTGCACTTGGCAGCTAACTCAAAGTTTTAGCAGTTCGAACCCACTGGCACCTCTACATGAGAAAGATCTGGTGCTATGCTGGCTGAAAACTGCCACCAAGAAGACCCTGAGGGGCAATTCTACCCTGTCACTTGGGGCCACTATGAGTTGAAAGGACTTGAAGATACTCAACAACTATTACTACCCATAGGAAGTCAGGATGGCGAGACGTCATCTCTCATACTTTGGACATGTGATCAGGAAGGACCAGGTCCCTGGAAAAGTACATAATGTTTGGTAAAGTGGAGGGTCAGCGAGAAAGAAGCCTCCCCTTCCTCCACCCCAGGACGGATGATAGTGTCAGTAACAATGAACTCAAAGGTACCAATTGTGAGGATGGTGCAGAACTGGGTAGTGTTTTGTTCTGTTGTGTATCGGGTTGCTGTGTGTTGGAACAGGACAGCACCTCACAACAACAATCCATGTCTAACTTATTTGTTCAGAATTTGCCTCCTCCAGTTAGAATGTCGGCCCCGCGAGGACAGAGGTCTTCTTAACTACTGTGTCACCAGTGATAGCTACTGAATTCTCAGTGTGGCTCAGGCCAAGGAGGACCCCCACTGCCCCTCCTGCCCACAGGGCCAGGAGGTCTAGAATCCCCGAGGGAAACAAGGAGTGGGATAGTACTGGGAAGTTAGCACTTTGGGACATCTTCTGACAGAGGGTTGCCAGTACCCTTCAGGCCCCAGAGACCCCTAGTGAGGTGGGGATGGGAGGACAGAGTTAGGCTAGCTTCATGAGGTAGACCCCCTGAGCTGTAGCCCCCATTCCTACATATGTGAGCTCAGCTTGACCTCAGGCCTTAGTTACCCTGCTAGAACTCTGACCCCTTCAGGGTCTGTCCACCTAGCTCTTCTTGGGGCCTCAGTGGCCTCCATCTCACCTGATCGAATCATATGGACATTGCCAGCCGCCCTGACCTTTCACAGATTCTACCAAAAGATTCTCATAGCCACCCCTGTCCCCCGATTCTCCCATTCCATGTTGTTGTTGTTGTTGTTAGGTACTGTGGAGTCAGCTCTGACTCATAGTGACCCTACACAGGGTTTCCGAGGCTATATATCTTTATGGGAATAGATCACCTGATCTTTCTCCTGCGGAACCACTGGTAGTTTCGAACTGCTGACCTTGAGGTTAGCAGCCCGATTCATAACCACTACGCAACCAGAGCTCCCTCTCATTCCATACAGGCCCCTTAAAGTTCACCTTTGCCTGCCGACACATCTAGGGGGATCCCCCCAGGTCTTCCTTCCCACTGGGTGGTCCAAGTCAGCTCATCTGTACACAGCAGCCAGAGCATCTTTCTACTCTGTCAATCTGACTACGACATCCCCATCCCAGATAACACCCTTCTTGGCTCCCCACTGCCCTGTGGTCTAGACCCCAGCCTTGAGGTTCCCCTCTATGCATTCTCATTGCCATTCTGTTCGTTGGTCACCAGAAACTACTTTCAGTTCCAGTTCCCCCCTACCCCACGCTTTCTTGCTTCTGAGCACCCCTCCTTCCTCTTTGCCTGGCTGACTCCTACTCGCCTGTCTGTTCCATCTCCTCTAGGAAGCGCTCCCCAACCCCTAGGATTTGTTAGACACTGCCCACCCCAGCTCTTCTCCCTATGTGGCGACACAGGTTCCTTCTTGTCTCCCCACTGGTCAGTCAGCTCTGGGTCCTCCAGGTTGCCCAGAAGGGTGCTGGTGAGGGTCAACCAGCCTGTCAGTGTCCAGGACAAGTTTCAGGCTAGCTGAGTATGTCTTCAAGAAACACCTCCTGGCCCTCATTTCCAATGCCTCCTCCTTTCCATCTGCTCTTTGGCGGAAGTGGTCCACAGATGTCAGGAGACTTAGAAGGGAGCGGAAAGTTCCTTTCCCATGATGCTTGGCCCCCTGGTGGACTGAGAGTCAAGTCTGGATTTGAGTCCCATCTGTTTTCCTCAGACTGTGTGACCTTGGGCAAGCGGCTCCACTTCTTTGGGCCTCGACTTTTCAATCTGTAGAATTGGAACAATCCCTGCCTCACAGATTTGGGTGGGGAGAGAAATCCAAAGAGCTAATACAGGTGGAGGTGGTTTACACTGAAGGACAATGGGGGTGGTATCAGAACTGTGAGTCCATGTAGGGGAGAGGAGGAGCCAGGCCTGTGGCCAGCACTGGTCTCTCAATCTGATTTACTATCTCCTGGCTGGCCAGCATCACCTGGGAAACATCAGGACAGGGACTCTGAGACCATCTGGCCACCTCCTCACATTTACCCAGGGGGAAGATAGAGACCCAGAGAGGCACAGCTGTGGCCTGAAGTCAGACACAGGGGGAGTGGCTGCATCCCTGCAATGTGGGAGGAACGCTGAACACCTGGGAAGATCCCTTCCACACCATGATCTCCGAGAGGTCAACAGAGAAGCCCAGGGCCACACAGCCTGTCTCCCCAGCCTTGTTTCTCCATCTCTGACGAGGAGGCAGGAATTGCTACCAAGATTCATGTTGTGCCGGCTTTGTTGTTGTTGTTAAATACTGTGAGTCGGTTCCAACTCATAGTGACCCTGTATAGGGTTTCCAAGGAGCAGCTGGTGAACCACTGACCTTATGGTTCAAACCGACCTTGCAGTCCAGTGCTTATCCTACATCACCACATCAGGACTCCAGTGTTGGGCCTGGCTGCTAGGAA